AGGGGGTCTGACGGAGCAGCCCTCCTTATATGACACTCAGGCTGTTGTTTGAGTTTGTGGAGGGTTCCAAAAAGGCAGGAAGAGTCTTGTAGCAAAAGGAATGACACACACAAAAGACCTGCAGCAGAAACAAGCAAGGCAGGTTTGGAGCTGTGCAGGGCAGGTCAGGAGGGCAAGAAGTCAAAGAAAGCGCGCCAGCAGCCGCAGGGCTGAGGCTGCCGGTGGGCACGTCTCAGACCAGATGGTGCCAGCCAGAGGAGACCCGCAGTGCAGCCACAGAAAGTACAGGAAGCGACAGACAGTCACTAGAGACAGATCAGCCGGGGGGCTTAGGACACAGCAAGCATCGCTGAAAACCCCCGTCAGGAACTTGGAGGACCAGTCACTCGTGCTGGGCAAAAGGGCCCGAACTGGGCTGTGCAGGGCCCCTTCCCCATGCAGCCAGTCTGTGGCTGCCAGTGGCCAGAAGATCATGGTGCCTGTGCCCAGGACCCTCGGAGAGGCTGCGCTCCTCTCACTCTGTCTGATCACAATGGGCACAGGTGTGGATGGAGGGCAAGGCAAGAGCCTGCAGGCCACTGAGAGGTTTTGGTTCTGAGGACGCCTCAGCACGCAAGGCTCAGACGGCTAAGCTCGTGGAGATGTGTCCAGAACGGACTGCTCTGGGGACCCCAGGCCCGGCCTCCTCCCCTCCTTCCTGGGCAGCTGCACACAGTCACTGGACATTCATGTCTGCATGTGTGCATGGGACCAGGAGAGTATTTGGACGTGGTACCCAGGCTTGGAGCGGCAACAGAACAAGACACTGTAGAAAGCGCCTAGAACAGCCAGGGCTCCTGTGCCATCCACGGATGGCTGCAAGCTGTTTGCTCTAGGAATTAGGAGCCATCTGATCCTTTTAGTCTGCAGCCATTTCCCTGCTGTCCTGTGCATGTGCCAAGGTTTCCCACGAGGGACGAGTGAAGTTCAGTGTCTAACAGTGTCATACACCCAGCCCTAGGCAGAGGATGGGTGGTTTGTGCCCACTCTACTTAAAACCCTCAGATAACACAATCAGGAGAGGAAATCGTGCTGTCAGCAGCCTGTCTCCAGAGAGGGAGGCAGCCTGGGGCCTGCTTTGACACCTGCAGTGTGCGTCCTGCCAGGAGAGCAGAGGTTACCACACAGGCCGAGTAGACTTGCCACAGGGCTTATCTCCTTATTTGCCTCCTCTCTAAAGAGCAAAATGTCCTTTCCCTGTGATAAAGGCTCCATGCATGTGTGGAGTAAATAAATTGTCTTAGTTACTTTTTACTCATTGCTGAGACAAAATACCTGATGCCCAAAGTTAGGGAAGGAAAGGTTTATTTCTTACAGTTCTTAGAGGTTTCAGTCCATACTCAGTTGCTCCAAGCGGCAGGCAGGGCCGCAGCTCATGGCAGCTGCAAATACCAAGGTGAGAACCGGCAGAAAGAGACATACCTTCTTCCCACTGTTACGTCATATCCTGGCCCCACCCCTAGGCGGGTGTAGAGCTCACACCACCAATCCGAGTGCTTGACAATGAACCAATCACAAGCACATAATTGCATGAGGCCTGGGGGCCACTGACATAAACCTGTGGCATCAATTGATAGCATCCCATGAGTTTTAAATGTCATTGACAAGGCGTATTCTTCTAATGGAGAGACACCTGAAAATCGATTTTCAGTTACTTAATCTGAAATTCTGTAAAGTACCACAGATATTGTAATATTCTGAGTAACTAAATTGCCCTACCTGATGGTTTAATAAATTCATATTATTCATAAAAGGGAATCCTATGAACACTCTACCAAGATTAGATTTCTGAGCCCAAATGTCAAGTCTAGCATACTGGACAATGTGACCGACCATCTCTGTTTGGCCATTAGAGAACAAAGCTTAGTTCTCAGGGGTTTAGGATCGGGGTGCCAGTGACACACGTTGCGTACTGAGCTATGTTGTCATTCCTATAGCAGTCTACTGTCTAAGCTTACACAGACTCAGAAGCTTATTATATTGCTAGGGTTCACACTTGGTTGATTCTCTTGTTTTTCAGTGTTGGTTCAATTTCCGAGGTTCACAGTGGTTTTCTTTACAAAGAAAAGTCTGCCCGAACCTGTGGTCTTTAGGTATGCCTTCTATGCTGTACAATTTCCCTCCGGACATTGGCAGTGAAGGCCGGACGGTAATTTTCCATCAGGGAGCTCCACAGCAATGTGGAGTTCAGGAAGAAAGTTTGTTTTTAATAGTGTTTCCGAGGAGGTTTTCCCAGGAACTTGGAGACCTGTGTTGCCCTGTATGAGGTCACCGAATATTTTAACATGAGGTGCTCGCAGCGCAGTCCCTTCTCGGTGCCTTGAACAGTGGGCCGACAGCACCCTGGGGACCGACAGCACCTTGGGGACCGACTGCACCCTGGCTGCACTGCTGATGCCCTTGGAGGGAAGAACAGCACCTTTGGCATGGGATGGCGCCATGCTCTGACCTGTGCAGATGAGGAGCAGTCCATGGTGACTTCTGCTCCTTCTGATGCCAAAGCATGCAATCAGACATTTACTGGAACTGTGACCAAATCATTGAATCTGTCACTTACTGAAGTTAGAACCGCATGGAACCAAATGGTGGACTCCTGTGTCCTTATCATAGACGCAATTCTCATGGCTTTCAACTCCTGCCTTTATTCTGGAAAAGAGAAAAGTTGCTTTTTCCCCAAGCCTCAGAGTTCAATTACGGCCACTGACAGCAATTTAAATAGCCCTTTAACAAAATAGCCCAGGCTCCTAGCACAACAAGGCACTTCTAAAGTAAATCTTCCTCAGATAACAGCTGTCAACTGTCAATGAGCTAGAGATAATTAAATTTGAAGATGCTTTATGGCTCAGAAAAATAGATAAAAGTCTTTGGACCAGAAAGGTCTTCAAGTTGATGGGGTTATTTTTCTCTCCAGTATTTGAATTAATGCAAGAAATTGATTACTTTCTAAGGAAACAGGTGAAGAGGGAAACTGACAGGAATTTTTTGTTGTTTTCCCTAACTGAGGTCACACTTTTGGTTTAATTTCAATACAGATTAAGAAAAGAAAGGGACAAGGGAAAGAATAGAGGATATTTTGGGGAGCAAACATCTGCAGTAAACCATGGAACACAGGAAAACAGAGGTAGTTGGGGGCCTCAGCACAAACAATGTGTCTTCAGAATTGTAGGATCTGCAGGGTTAGTGCATTGTGTTTATGTGGTTTTCTTTACAGTAAATAGCATTTCTACCATAGGGAAAGAAAAGCTCAGTTTAAACTGCCTAAAAAATTATGAAGTCCTCATCTTGGATATGTAATTAGCACAGTTCCGGGTTAGTTAAGTAACTCCGATTTCCTACAGAGCCTTGAGCTTTTCCTCCATTTCTCTCTGCCATTCTTAGCTAGCAGCAACTTTCTTAGAAAATACAACCTCTCCAAGTGCAGTATGTGCCCATAGTATCTGGAGACAAGACCAAGAAATACCCATTTTTGGGTGTAGCAGTGTTGAGGCCCCAGGCGCCCGTCTTGGTAGCCCTGCAGGCGGCCTCCCTGTGAGTCTCTGGCAGAAGCTGTCACATGGTCACCTCGTTCCACTCACTGGCTAGTGCTGGGATCAGAATGGCTGACGTGGGTGGGCTGATCAAAACTGGTACTCTTCAAACAGATCATGTTTGCTACACAGGATGCCATGAATCCTCCCCCACCCCTTCCCCACACACGCTCCGTCCGTCTTACTGCTCTCCGAAGCAGGTCTGGAGAACCTCTGTAAATGCCGTTGCTGACCGGTATCCGATGGAATGGAAACTCTTGAAAATATTCCAGTGCACACCTTCATCTACCTTATTCATCCAGTGTGGCTTGTCGTGCCTAAGATCACGTGGGGGACGCTGTGGCTTTCATGCTGATCTAGTGTTCCTAGGAAACAGGTCACACTTGGGACTGCTCTGTCTTGCATGTGTTCAAGGGCTCACAAGATACGATTCATGGTTTCCCATGAGGCTTCTTATCATTTTTTATTTTGATTTAAACTATAGCCATATCAGAACTTGTAGAAATGCATTTGTGACTACATGTCTAAAATTTAGCAAGTGTTCATTGTGGAAGCAGTAATCTCAGAAAACAATCTGTTCCAGAGAGGTTGTCATTCTCTTAAGTTCGTAAGCAAAAGAACAAAGAGATTCCGTTTCAGCGGAATAGGAATGTCTTAAATGGTATAAAAGAGTGTTTTTCCTACAGAGAAAATTACTCCTGAAATGACAGCTGATGGCTGTGTTTATCACATTCCACATTCGCTGCTTTCCCTGCTGCCGGCAGATATTCATTGCAAAGATGGTGCAGTGAAATGTGAGGCACTGATCTGATGGCAGAGACACTAAAATTCTGAAAATGTCTCTATTTTCCTCTGTTATGCCCGGGCAGAGTGCATTTAAATGGCATCACTTCCTGAGTGAGACAAAATGAAAAAAATGGATTTATATTTCAGGTGATTTACAGAAAAAATATTAGACTCATTAAAAATATCTCTATAAAGGTAGTTATTTAGCATGGGAAATGGGAAATATTAAAATGGTATGCACATTGAATTCAAGATTTAAACATTAGTAAGGGTAAGATATTTTGGCTGCTATTGGTTTTTTTTTATGTTCAATCTATGAACTGTATTTTGCTAGCTTCATCTATTTAACTAATTTTAATCTGATGATATCTATTAACAAAACAAACTTGTAGTTATTGCAAATATGAGTAACTGAACAAAATATTACCACCATGAGCATTAATATTGTCCTTGTTATTCATCTTCATTTAGCATAAAAGTGTTAAATAAAATACTCATTTAGCATAGCAGCATTTTGAAATTAATTTATTGCTGTAAGAGAAAATGTATTTTGCCTTTTTTGACAAATATTTCTATTAAACTTTTTATGAAAACTGGAATTATGGAACCAAGATGCCCTAATTTTACAAGCCTTGTTCACTGTTTCAGAGCTTCGAGCAACTAAGACTTCTGAATACTTCAGCCTGTCTCACCACCCATTAGACTACAGGATTTTACTGATGGATGAAGATCAGGACCGGATCTACGTGGGCAGCAAAGACCACATTCTTTCCTTGAATATTAACAACATCAGCCAGGAGCCTCTGAGTGTAAGTTTCTCATCTGCATGTGGACCACCTGGACCAGTTGACCTTCTTGGAGTGCCTTTCTAGTTTATTGTTGTTGTTGTTTTGGGGATCGAACTCATGACCTTGTGCTTGCTAGGCAGGTGCTTGTGCCACTGAGCTAAATCTCCAGCTCAGGGTGTTTTCTTAAAGTTTCCAAATACAATGAAAAAGAATATTATTCACTAAACAATAAAAAAATACATGTCAAGCTATATCAAAGAATTTAATTCTAATTTTAAAGCTAAAACTTCTCGCTGAGTTTTAGCAATATAAAATCTGGAAAAATACTTACTGCATATATGTATATAAGCAAAAAGGAACATGGACTATATCACTACACACACACACACACACACACACAATGAGACTAAAGGAGACCTCACGTGTGACCTATGTGCAATCCAAACTGGGATTGAAAAGAACACAGCTGTTAGGCACACAGTTGAACAAGTGTGGTCCATATTTATTATTCTATTTTAAAACAAGGATGTAAAATTGAGTTTCATTGGACCAAACAAATAAACGTAGATAGGTTATGATAGATTATGAATTTATGATAGCAGGGAGAATTTATTATGTTCATAAGAACAACAGTATGACTGCTTAAAAAGGTAAGCTTTACTGCTAGACCTGGCCTAAGACCACAGTGTTTAGAAAGCCAACAATCTCATGGGTTTTATCCAAGTTCTTTTAGCTGTTAAAATATGCAGACACTCACTTTAAGTAAATCTACCACTCAAGCCCTCTGGTTAAGCAAAGACAATGTTACACTTGATAGTAACATACATGTAAATTCATCATGATACGAGCAGATGGGAAACCATAGTGAAAGACTAACGGAGTGAAATGTGCTTGTATTGTAGCATTCTAAGGGTGATCTTATTCTAACGCATGGTTAGTAAATGGGGATATATTATTGAAATGATTTTGTTAGAGGAAAAGATAATGGAAGTAATAAAATGATAATTATCATAACATAATGGAATATGAACTTGAGTTTATGACATGACAAAGGAAAGAAGTTTGAAATATAAGTATAGAAATACCTGAAGAAAATCTGTTAGAAAAAGTAAATGAAGAGCATTGACCATGGTATCCTGACGTAGACTCTGCAGCCTGTTTTTCTCTCCGAGCAGGTTTTCTGGCCAGCGTCTGCAATCAAAGTTGAAGAGTGCAAAATGGCTGGCAAAGATCCTACGGTAAGTACAAAAAACAAACAGATAAAACACCTACATTTAATTAGTTGCGCTTTACATCCCTCTGCTTTCGTGCAGTCAGGAAGGAGACGCAGGTTTCACATCCTTGGCTAGACACATGTTAAGATGTAAATGTGAAGACACTGGAATCCTCCCCATCTGCAGTTTTGGAATTCCTGATGGATACAAATTTCCTGCCCCGTTTTCATTATTTCATGCATATACTTTTCATGATGAATTTCAGTAATAATCCCCGTTCCAAATGGATCCAACCTGCAGAGCTCTCAGCAGGCTCCTGAAATAATGATGCAGCAAGTGTCTGGAGCAGGGCCCAGAGACGGAGGGGGCTTTTCCAAAGACTCCCAGCAAAGCGCTAGTGGTTGGTTGGCACATTCCAGAGACATACATCACCGTGATGAACCGTACCTTGCTAATGAAAACATAACCACAAACCCACCAGTGAGGCAGAGGAGAGCACTGATAAATGCAACACTTGTGCAAATCATCCTCCCCTAAGTGCAATTCAATACAAAGGGTCAAGCGAGAGTCTGTACTGATTTCTAAAGGTGACATGCTGGCATTGACACCTTAAATGATTTTAAATACTATAAAAAAAACACATGAAGTCCATGTTTATTGTGTTCAAACCATAAAATCAAGCATGTATTCAATTTAACCTTGCTGCAAATCATGAATAATAATTATAATGAAAGCAAATATCAAAATCATCTGTGTTCACAAATAATTTGGGAAGAGGTTCCACTTTTCGCTCATATTTTTTTTTTTTCAATTGTTCATGAAATAAACACTAAGTGAACACACATTATGTAACTGGCATTGTGCTGGCTGCAGGAGACATAATTTGTGCAAGAACAGACAGGGTTCTGGCTTTAATGAACCTTATGATCTCAATGAAAAAGAGTCTTAATTAGAGGAGAAAGGGAATACATGTTAACCAAAGAATGAGGTAGAAATACTGTCTGCCACTGGGTGGAAAATCTAATAAATTCACACACAGGGATGATCAAAAAAATACAGTATGCATTTCAACCTTTAAAAAAGTTGACAGTAAAAGACATGTGGCATAAATCCCTTCTAAATGCTCCCCTCACTTTGAACACACTTAGCCCAGCCGTCCTGCTGCTTTTGGAAGCCGTTGTGGAAATCCTTCTCTGTGAGTGCCCCGCAGTGAACCCTGCCAGGGTTCACCAGCTGGAGACGCACACGCTGACGGAAACCTTCCAGCGTGTCCCCACTCATCTCACTCACAAGACCTGGCACTTCCTTAAAATCAGGATGCCATGAAAGGTCAATGTTTGCAATCAGTTGAGGCCAGTGAGACAGCCAGGACAGTGCCCTCAAAAGCACTCATGAAAAAGGGCTTCCAGAGCCATCTCCCAAAGTGACAGGAACAATGGGTGACTGTTCAGAGCAGGGCCAGTATTCTGATGGGGTGAATGGTGATGTGCCTTTCACTGACAATTTTCAGATTTTAGGCACTGATTGCATTTTGCAATCACACCACATACATACACACACCCTGGTCTGAGGTCACAATAAATGGCACTCTCTATCTGGTGTCAGGAACTGCTGGCTGAGCACCTCTATGGCTGCTGAGGTAGCGAGGCCTCCTGGCGGGAAATCTGTGCCTTCCCAGGGCCTGCTCCAGAGATTCCTCAGGGTGGGCCAGTTTTGGGGAAGAAAGTCTGATCTTTGTGGAAGTGAAATTGCTTTCAGTGAGCCTTCAGACAGTCACCGGTATAAGGTTTCAAAACCGTCCAGCTCAAGTGAGCCCAGGGAAGGCTGGAATGCAGGATCCCTGTGTACCAATCCTAGGTTCTTGGCCAGAGAAATTACTAAGAGTGACTCAGATCTGGGCCTCACTTTCTGTATTTTGCAATTCACCTAATAAGGAGAATTGAAAAGAAGGCAGATGAAACTTGCCAGAACATTTTTCTTTTTCTCTGAGATCCAAGGATTTCCTGGACCAAAAATCTAAAGAAAAAAAATCCAGAAATATGTATAAGTAACCTTCAAAGGAGTACACTGCATGGCCTTCCAAGGATGCAGAAGCAAAGTGGAGTATGTTTTGTAGAATAATGTTTTGTTCCTCTAGCTATTCTTTATATGATTCGCCAAGAATTGAACTATTTTATTTCCTTCTAATGAAGACATATTTTCCAGTGATGTGTGTCTGATCATGTCTTGCCAGTTGCCAAAGTTATATTCTGTGTTGATATAATTGAATTATTGTCTTTTGTTCAAAGAGCTGGGCATTGCTTATTCATAGAAACTGCCATAGGGAAATGCATAGGTGCGGGCGGATACATTTTATATTCTGTTTCCAAAAGTTTACTGTTGACTTTCTAAAGAATGTTAGCCATGGCATTGGACTTTCCTCTTCTTTTAGAAGAATAGAAAACGTCTATTGCTTGTTTTGTGATAAAATCTTCAGTGCATGCTTGCATTTTCCCGTAGTTTGGTCACGCTGGACTGTCCTTCGGGGGTGCCTTTGAATTCTTCTGGATGTCCAGTTGTTATGCACTGGGAAAGGGCTAGTGGAGAGCTCCACTGCCTCTACGTACTGTTAGGACTTGGCGCTGCAGGCTTTGATTGTCCTTAAATCACTGCAGAGTCCTGAAAAGCAGTAACCATTCTTTTGAATACATGCACCGTCTCAGCGGGAGAAGAGAATGTTTAACAAATCCATCTTGTCTCTTACCTGCCAAGAAATGAGTTGAGTTTCCAGAGAAGCGTCTTTTAGCCACAGAAAAAGCCAATGGGGGAAAAATAATGTGAAATACATCTTGGAAAATTCTACAAAACAACCTGTTTTTGTTACATTTCCCAGTGAATCCAAGACTTTCCGAATGTCTTAACATTATTCAAATGACTGCCATCTAGTAATTTAATACTTCAGTTTTCAAAACACAGGAATGGAAAATTTTAATTTGCATGCCTCAGTTACTGTGAAATACTGGATAAGGCTCCACTGAAGAGCCTTTCCCACCTAGTAGAGGTGACAACACACCTAGGAAGTACTTATCAGATAACGACACCCAATGGTTCTGAGGGACAGGCCAGGCCACTGTTCCAAGTGCTTCATTTTAATACTGGTAACAGTGCTACAAGAGAGCACTGATTACTGTCACCACCCACATCTTTAAGATAAAGAAAGTAAACAATTAGGAGAGGGACTCACTCAGCCCTGTAGGGAGTTCCTGGGAGGCTCTGCACCTGACCCAGGACAAGTTGGGTGGACCCAGCATCCTTTGCCACTGAAACTGGCACCTTCCCAGGTTAAGGTGGTTCCTGCTAAGGGTGCACACAAAACTCAGAAGCACAGTGCCACAGGGTTATTTGGGGAAGCTTTGCCAAGCTTGGTGACAACCATAGCCTTTCCCCTATTTCATTTCAATGACAAGAAAATTCAAATGAACCAGGCTTTTCCCCTTTAGCCTCTAAGGTCACCTCTGAGTGTTATCTGCTTCCAGTGAGTTCAGAGGCGGAAGCCTGTGGTGCTCTTGGGTGGGACTCATAGGGGAACTTTATCTCTCCATCACCCTAGCCACCCTGCCCTGCTGGGTGCACCCTGAAACACCCTGGTTCTGGGGTTAAACTGGGAGTGTCTCCTCCTGCTTGGAAGTACTGTGCTCCCTGTGCTCAGATCTGCATGCAGTCACTCCATAAAATTTAAAAAGCCTTGAATTGAAAGAGGTGGACACAACTGAACAGGAGAATTCATTCCGAGTGATTTTTAGGGACCGAGCCCGAGACACAGTGCCTCAGCCATAAACTCATTAATGCTTCTAGAGCAATGAGGTTTGTAGAAAATTGTTATGTGCACAGCCCGGAAGTACACTTTTATTAAATGTTTTTAGCTCATAGAAATATAATTCATCTGTTAAGTAAAACATAAAGTAGTGGCAGATAAAATCTGTGCTATAACAATTGAAAGGAATTAAAACAGAATCAGATTGTTTAGTTGTATTGAGTTCTAATTGAAGTTATAAAAATATTAATACTTAATTATGGGGTGAAAATACAACTTAAAATATGATCCCATATAGCAAATACCATAATCCTATAATAAATAAAATTTATAAAGTAGGTAAATGGCGAGAATATAGCAAGTTTTCTGTATCACCTAAAGAAAGTAAAACTTAACTTCCCATTTCTCTCCCCTTTACGTACTAGTCAGTTATTCCTAACCATCATAAATTGATACAAGGGAAAGAAACTCCCATCCTATTAGATGTCCAGTATGAGTTCCTGTTCTCCAAAATCAAAGGGTGAATTTTAGAAACAATGGAGGTGAAGAGCAGCATATATTTATAGAGAAAAAGAAAGCTTCTGTCCGAGAGACAGAAAGGGTCCAGAGCACATTGCCAAGGATCCTGCCTTTTCCAGGAATTTTATAAAACAAAACCCCAAGGTGAAGTGGTCAGGAGTAGGGAAAAATGGGAACTTGCAAGGCAGGTATGACTTGGGACAGAACTATCATCAGTCAATAAGATTAATTGCTCAGGCAAATTTGATCAAATCAGGGGCAGATGGGGAAGCCAGTCAGGTAGCAAGCTGGCTCAAAGAGCCGTGACTCTTTCTGTAGGGTGTGGGAAGGTGACTCCTGGCTTCTTCAGGGTGATCTGTACCTATTTAGCATATCAATCCCTGATATTTATCCTTAGGGTGTGGTTGCATTTGCTTTGTCTTTTGTCTTGAGATCTGGCCCAAGCAGAGGTGTCTGTCTCCCCCACAGTTGCCAGGTATCTGCCCTTCAGCACTGGCTCCTTCCAGGGCCCAACCTGTCTGACTGCCTGTAATATTTCTATCTAACTCAGCTGCCTGTAACAAGATGACTGAGACAGGGTGACCTCGTAAAGAAGTTATCAGCTCACAGGGGTGGGGCAGGAGGGGCACCGCCCTGGATGTAGCTCCTATCTGTGATGGCCGCCTTCATGGCAGGGTCCCTAAGTGGCACATGGCATTATGTAGCAAGAATACAGGAAGCACACGTGTGTCTTCTTTCTTCCTAGCAAGCTACCAGGACTTTTCCTCATGCGAGTTCCACGTGAACCACCTTCTCTAAACCTAATCACTTTCCAGGGTCTCACTAGCATGGGATCAGGGGCTGCTTGGTGACACTGAGGAACAAACCCCTGCCTGACTGCAGGACAGGGGCTGCACGTATTTGAATCCCAGCCCTGTGCAAACTCACCCTCCTGTCCATCCCATTTATTTCTAAATGTTAACAGTTGATTCAAGTAGTAATTTGAGCATAAGCAAAGTTACACGCTGTCAAGTGTATCTAATGATGTAGGATTTAATGAAGGAATTAGGAAAACATGTAGGAGATCATGGAGAAATTAAGTTGAGATAGATAGATGCATATATATAATAGGCACAAAAATGTCAAATTTGATTTATTATTTGTATACTATGTTTCTTTATTTCTATAACTAGATGATCCTATGCTACTACAAAATGTGTGCATAGTTATAGATTTTTAATGACATTCTTTGGGAAGCTCTGTCAGAATTCCCTGACCTCATCTTCAGACCAAATAGGTGTAGACCAGGAAGAAAACAAAATAGTGTTCTAAAATTGTATAATTTGCACCGCAGTCAATTTTTTAAAAGCCTGTTTACCTCTGCTTCCAGATATATTTTAAAAACATGCATGCTTTTATTTTCCTAAACCCATTTGAACATGTATCTAATGTATGTTCAGTATGCAGGTATTTCAAAGCCTATAAAGTAACACATAGAAAGTAACAGAGGATGGTAAACCACGTGTTAGCCATTTGATCTTGGGCCTTGATTTTCTTATCTGTGAAACATACTCATTTTTTGGTCATTCAAATAAGCAATGAGTTAATATTTGCATAGAGTTTAAAATAATACAGTTTGATACACAGTAAATATTACCTCACTCTTAAATACATTGTAGTATCAAAGCATGATACTTTAGTACCTTGGGGTATATTCTTTCTGCATTTTCTTATGTAGATATATATATATATATATATATATATATATATATATATATGCATGTACAAAATAAAATGATATTCCATTCTGCATAAGGTTAGCTGCCTTATTTTCCCACCAAAAGAGACAAGGAAACAATGTAAAGAAAGCATTCATGGTGTTTATTTCCACTGAGATCTCAAGAAATGACCAAGGACAGACGACTCCAGTGGCCACTGGATCCCTCGGGCACTGTCTCCTGCCATGCGAGGCACTGTTCCCTGTTAGTCCTGCACTTTTGTACCCTTGCTTTTTGGTTCATGTTGTTTCCTGCTGGAATGTTCTTTCCTTATGCTTTTCTATATCAAAACCACTACCCCATTCTGCGGACGAGCTCTACTTAAAGGTGTCCGCCGATGAAGCACAGTGTATTTTTTCTTCTTGCCCTCTGTAGCGCATTAAAAAATACCATAGCACTCATCACAGCCTGGTTTATTATTCTCTTCTTTCTTTGCAAATAGGAAGTTAGTCTATTCCTTCCAGGGTTGCTAGGACCCAGTGCAGAGCTTTGAAAAGCACAAGCTGAAGAAATATTTGCCAGATGTGAGGACGCAGTGGTCCAGGAAAGCTGCAAGGTGGAGTGGGCCCTGGTGCAGGTCTTGGACCAGGTCCTCAGTGATCCTAGAGCACTTTATTTCCTCTCTCTGGGACCCAACATCCTTCCAGGAAGTGGGATACTAATACTTAGAGCATTGCTGAGAGAGTCAACAGGAGCCACCTCTATAAGTATTAAATGATTTGCAAATATCAATAAATATAAAAGGAAGTATAAAAAGTTACTTACAGATTAATAACCGTTACAAAACAATTATGGATTCCTGACATATCCAATGGCAATTACAAAATGGCTAAAACTACAACATTCAACTAGGAACTTCATCTATTTGAAAATCTGCCTTGTAGTTTCTAGTGACCTCAGGCAAGCTAAGCAAACCTCTAAGCTTTATTTTTCTAAAGGGACTCAGTTGTAAATACAACGGCAGCAGCAAAGATCATGAAAATTGACATAACAAAGCAGCATATACTGAGCATTCACTAAACATCAACTCTAGAGGTGAAGCTCAAAGCTCCTGGGGGATTGGGAGGGTTATTTCTATGTCTAGCGCAGAGAAAACTCTGGAAAGCATTATCCATAAGGAACAGACAGATCAATAAATAGACTAATATGAAATGCGTAGAGTCTAAATTTAAAATATAAAAATATTTTACTCTGCCCTTCTTGTAATACCAGGGATTCATGAAAGTAAATTGTCCATAAAATGCAAAATGAGACAGATAAAGCTTGTTATTGAAAGAACCAGATCATGTTCGTGTCTTGTGGGAAAATGTACATGCAGAATTCTAGAAGGAGTCACCTTCAGTGTGAACTGTATAAGCACAAGTCTCCTGCTCACAGAGTTTCTCAGCACAGACACATTGTATACAAACCATGCTTCATCTCTGTCTCCTTCTAGGGAAACACATTATCATCTGTAGTTACATAATCAACTTCTTGATTCCTCTATAAATAGGTGTCAAGATACAGTGACACTGTGTATTTAACAAAAATCCTTACTGTCTTAACATACAAATAAATTGTATAGTCTGGTCTGTAAAAATTAATTTTCTTGACAGCAGAGTCCATGATTGATTATTTAATAATAAAAATCTATAATAGAAACATCTGCATAAAATTAGTGTGTATAAAAAGAAATATACATTAGTTGACAAGTAGTAATGCATTGAAAAAAATCATGAAAAGTAAAATAACCTTGGCTTTGAGTTTAGGTTCTACTTTGGTAGAGACTGCATTGTTTTACTTTTTGCAATAACATAAGTAATAGATACAGGCTCCCTTCTAAAAATCAGGAATACGTAAAACAATAAACTGTCTGACCATACAGGCATAAACTACTGTTAATCTTTGATATATTTCTCTTACATAAAAATTCTTCCTGTAATGTTAAAATCATTTCCAGTAATGTGCTTTGAAAAAACGATTTCGGGAAGGGCCAACATTCAGTCTCGGGCTTTGTTAATTTGTTGTGAGCAGTGGAGAGAGAGCCCAGCAAATATGCGCCAGGCTCCAGAAGCTCAAGGGCTCCTACAGGCCACACTCAGTCTGAGACTGAAAGGATCATTTTGTGCTTCATTTCAAATGAGGGAATAAGTACCTTGCATTGGATTGTACTGTGAGAAGGTGAGAAGGGAGGTTTTTATTTCCTTTTTTGAGAGAAGCATATTTTAGGGAATCTTGGGCCGAAAGAATGATTATATTTTTCTTTACAAAAAGCAAAAGTATGCTGGCGCTTGGTGTTAGTTTTGTTCTCCAAATGTACGGCTCGGCAGCTTCTGTAATTGCACGCTAACTGTGAGAAAGAACGTCCTGAGTCCAATTTTGTTGGAAACAAGTTTGTAGAATCTGTGTTGGCATACATGAGGAGCAACTGGTATACCTCTGGTAACTAGTGAGTCTGTACGTTTTAGAATAAACACACAGTATATAAAATAGCACAATATGAGGTAGGCATTTTCAGTGTTACCCTAAAATAAATACATAGAGTAAACCATTTTCGTATTTCCTCACCTTTATCGCTACCACGCGGGCAGACAGAGGACAGTCACGGAAAGGCACAGCCCGGTATGTGTCAGTTCTGTCTGCGTTAAGATGTGCAGACTGCAGAGCCTTTCCACTGAGGTACTAGACTTGGTAAAGATTTAGGTAAAAACAGAAAAACCAGGGCAGCGGGACAGCCGTGCTCCACTGAGTTCCACCAGGGTGGAGCTTTTGTCTGCTCTAGTCACTGCAAATGCCTGCACGGCTAAGCCGGCCCCAGAGGTTAGGGCCACAGTCAGCACTGGTTGGGGTCGGTTTCTGTGATATTTTCCTTTCCTAGAGTGGTTTCCCCTCGGGCACTGAATGTGGGTGGTGGACCCTGTCCCCCCTGAGCTGGGGGACTGTCCTCCATCACCCTTAGGAAGAGGCAGGCACCCAGGTCCCCCCCAGGGTTGACACCCTCACAGCTTCCCAGGTGACCGGGTGGGAGGGGATGCTGGGCAAGCCGCGGTCACTGACTCCTCCGACCTGGCTTCTTCCAGCACGGCTGCGGGAACTTCGTCCGCGTCATCCAGACCTTCAACCGCACCCACCTGTACGTGTGCGGCAGCGGCGCCTTCAGCCCGGTCTGCACGTACGTGAACCGAGGCCGGAGATCCGAGGTAAGGCGGCCTTTCACCGATCTCACTCGCGATGCTGGGGTCAGAGATTCTTAAAACGCTGTTTCGAATTATAAATTTGGAAATAGCACTACAGTACTTAAGATATTTCCATGTTTTTAAAATGCAAAATATATTTATTTGGTCTGCCAACACACTCTAGATACATTGTCTTTTGCCATTAGTGTAAAACTGTGTGTGTACGTGTGTGTAAGAGCTCCAAAAGGAAAAAAAAGTCAATATTATAATTACTTTGAATGTAAAGCATTGAAAACATCAAATAGAAACGCTGTATCACACACCCCTCCTTCCTTAAACATGCTTTAAATTAGTCCTTATTTATCTTTCAAATTCAGCAAACTTTAAGAGACACGACCCTTGTCTAGAGTGGAGACAAATCCTTTTGCTGAAAGCAGTGTTTTAAAGTAACCCACTTAAGGCCAACAGTTCCGTCCACCGGCCTGCACCTGCCTTGTGGACGCAATGATGCGGTGTTTGCTAAAGACGTTAAATGCATAGCTGGGCGCAGTCAAACACAAGGCTAGTTGAACTTCAACTTGCAGTGTGTGATACTGTGTTTAACATCCTGGTCCACCAGTGTTGACCAAGGCGTCTCAGAGCAGACCAAGAGCTTTTCCGCATTCTTTGAGTCACATTCATTGTTTCACTTGTCATAACCATTTCAAGAACTGAGATCTCTTCAAGCTGTCTTTGTTTGGTTCATTTTGCAGCTCCTATTTTAAAGTCTAGTTCTCTCATACTAACTCAGCTCATTTTGGAAGTGAAATTGCAGAAATGGTTAAATATGGCCACGGAGGTATGCCGTAAAGTTTATTTTTCTTTAACGCACATTAATCCACTGTAGTGCTCATGTTATTGGACAATGATTGCTTTTGAATTCCTTTTTCATTTTTATTTTTTGGGTACTGGGAATCAAACTCAGGACCTCATGCTTGCCTGGTGGGCACTGTACAACTGAGCTAAATAACCAGCCCTTGTATTCCTCTTTTATTAAATGACTTGGAAGGAATCTATGCCATTTTGATGTATTAAAAATCATTTTAAAATGACTGAATCGTCGCTATTCCCCCTGAGTTAGGCATTTCCAAGTGCGGTTGAATATGCTAGAAACATTAATGCTCTTGAAGAGGGGTTAGGCTGCTTGGATATGAGCTCACCATAAGGACCACATGCCTGGGATCAATCAATTAAATAGAACCCTGCCTGTGACATCTCAATCTGTCAGATGCACCCTGAAGTGTGTACTGGCTGCACGGGCCAACAATAGCAGAGCGGTGTCCAGAGCACAGATCTCAAATAAAATCACTTTCCCATGCGCATACTGCCCACTATGCACTTGAAGCCTTAATTAGAATGTAAATCCAAAAATTAATCTCCTTTGCAAAACCAGTGTGAAAGAAATTATAATCACTTTGCTAAGCATGAACTACACTATTTTTACCTCAAAAGATATGCTGCAAAAGTGGAAGCATTTCTGTTAATTAATGTGGTCTCCAAAATGATATGGAACAAGGTTCAATTGGGATATGAAAGATTTATGATTTGTGAGTGTGGAGTGTTTGCCCTGTAATCAGGTGTAGTGCCATTTCGTTTGTCTTTGGTCTGTAAGCCATTATGTAAATAGGAAGCCAGACGGTTTTATCAAACTTCGGATGTATTTATTTTCTTTCTGGATGAAGGATGCCCTCTCATGAAATGACCACATGACACAAATAGTTCTGCTTTGAGAGGGCTCACCTGTTCCTTCAGCGCTGACACTGTCTTTGGTAGTGACGCGAAAGTCACACTGTCTGCTGCACCCCGTGTTCTTATCAGGGCGCAGCCTTCTTGGCATATTCAAAACCAGTGTGAAAGTGAACTGAGTCAGGTGGGCAGTTACTCATCTTCTGTTTATTTCTGAGATGTTGCCCTCCCTCTGCTCCCTGCTCATCATGATAAAACTTCAGCGCTTCCCAGAGTGATTCACAAGCTGGGCTCAGCTTGCAGAGCCATGGACTCTCACGATCTCACATCTCTCACCCACTGTTTCATGAGCGGGACCCGGAGCTCTCCTGGCGCATCTCAGGGAGGCTTATCTAGAGCTTCTGCTGCGCTGAGGCCCAACCACAGAGCTTCTCTTAGAGTTGCTGTCTCTCCTTTCTGTTTCTGGAGAAAAGATAAAGCAACACAAATAGGCCATGACCTCAGAGTGATGAGGAAAACCTCAAGAAAACACAGGGGCTAGCGCCTGTTGCTGTGCATTGTGGCGCTATCACATCCCTGCCCTGGTTGGTTTTATCAGACGTTTCTGTAACACGGTGTAACAGTTCAGCACCATTTGGACCACTGGTCCTGCTACTCCTTCAGCGGGACACTTTTTTTGCTGGATCAGTGACATCACCCGCAGTGTCCCCGTGGTTGGTAAAGCCAGTTTCTCACCAGAGCACCCCATTTCACTGTCCACTCATGCATTTCCCTTAGCAATACATGTCTTCATCAGTAAACTTCACTCCATAATTAATATCTTCATTTCTTTTCCATTTGCCCCACCCAATTAAAAATCAAGATTTTGTTGCTTTTACTTAAAATCAGTTTGTTCTATAATCCCTACTTCCCTCTTTTTCACTCCATGATGAGGCTTCTCAGAATATTCTTTCATGCTGCTGCTAACAAAGCATCTTTATTAAAGGTTTCTAATAAAACTTATGCACATTAAGCAAAACTGATTGGTGACCATGATTCCCAATGGCCACATTGACTTCCCAGAAGAAAGCCTCCTCCAAAGCTATACACTGAATTTAGGTCATGCCCTCTGTAATTAATGCGTTTATTGGCATCTTTGATCATAAGGCATTTTCTTCTACTTCTTTAAAAAGTTTCACTACCTACTCTTTGGTCCTATTGTTTTGTCTTAAGCACTCAATCCACAGTGTTATGTATTTCATGAGAAAGAAGGTAGAAACAATCCGTGACAGAGTTTGCAGGCTCCCTCCAATGCTGGCCTTTCTTGTGTATCAAAAGAGAAGTGACCAGAACAGTCTTAACTACATAATAGCAACAACAAAATTCTGTGACATTTGTGGGTTATGTTAACCATGATTGGCGTGGCAGGAGGGGTTGGAAGAGCTGGACTGAGTTCAGTTAGAGACCTGGTGTAGTGGCCAAGAAAGAGATTGTCGTCCTCAGTGACTGGCCAGACAGTCACAGAGACACAAAATAAAGACTAGTGCAGGTGGTGGTGGTGGATTCAGATATAGAAAAGCCAACTTGCAATGGTCAAGCTGGTGACATTTTTGCTGTCTGCTGTTTTCAGCCTTTTAATTTACATGATTGCCATAAACAGAGATGAGAAACCATGCAGAGGTAACGTTGGGGCACAGTTTATGAGCTTGGGTTTTGTCTGTTCAATCTGCCATGTCATTAAATTCCAAGCACACAGCTGAATATGACATTGGACATATGCACGGGTGAACTGTTGTTTTTAAGAGAAACTGAAGTCCTCAGTGAAAGCTGAAGATGTTTCATCAAAGGGGTTTATTTTCTCTGTGAAATATTTGAAAGTAATACAAGCTGAGAACTTCATGAAGTAAAACAAAATACGATTTGACTGTAGTAGCAAAAAAGGAAAAACTTTAGTCAAAGAAATAGCAGAAGCGCCTGTAAGCTTGCCGAGCTGTCGAGGGTCCTGTTTGGCTGTGAATCTATAGCATCTTGAATTTACTCTTTGGGTTGCTTTCTGCAAAATGCTCAGTAGTTTGGAGGAGGTGTGGAGCGGTAGAGACTCCGAAGGCGTGGAGAGTGTGAGTTTGCAGGGCAGCGAGAAGATGGGGAGGAGATGGGACCCACACAACCTCGCAGCGGCCGGGGTGCAGGTTCTGACTCTGGACTGAGTCTCTCTGCCTCCAGAGTCCCAAGCCAGAGGACTCAGTTCTGTTCGTTTTTAATACACGAGTTGGGCGATTTCAACATATTTGGGAAGGAGATACGAGAGCCTTGGAAATGAACCTGTTTTGCTCGCATCACCCTTTCACTCGCTGGCCTTGGGCAAGACACATTTTCAACATCTTGAGTGAGTTTGTGGACATGGAGGACACAGTGGGTTTCAGGGCTATGACTCTAAGGCTGTCGTTGCCTGGGGGTCCTGGAGGCAGCATAGAAAAAATCTCTGTGTGATGGGAAGGAAGTTCTGATCAGGGAGTCAAAACCTGAGAAGCTTTAAAAGTTTCCCCAAACTAACCAGTTTCTCATAGGTCACCGTGCTCTATTAGTTTTTGCTGTAATGACTACTTTACATTTCTCCTGTTCTTCTCATGGCCGCTGAGATCGTGGCCCGGCTGATTATTATGATCTGACTCCTGAAATGTTGCCATGGGAAAGTCACCTGTATTCTGAATCTGCTGGCTGCTTTTGTTTCTTCTGTTCCTGGGCTTTGTAAAGCTCAAGATAAGATCAAAGCTTATTGGATGAATGTTGTAATCCTTTTATGTCCCTGTAAAAAATATTAGTGAGTCTGTATTTGTTTCCAATGATTCTCAAAAACCGTAATGTAATAATTAAGATCTCCCATCATCTGATACAGACAACAGAAGTCAACATTTCTCCTTGATTTTTAGTAGTAGTTTGAGTAAAGATAAAGGTCAATATTTGTACCAAGAAGTTGTATCTCTCAGGGGTGAAATTCGCACTGTGTTTCAGGTGGACTCAACTCCAGCCTCTATCCCATTTATTGCTTTAACATTTCTACCAAACTCAGGAAACAGCTGACCCACTGTTCTCTGCTTAGTTATTCTCTGCACGTCCTCTCTTCTGCATTGGGTTGTGAATTACTTGAGTACAAAGACTTTTGTGACTTTTGGCTGGTCCAGCATCGGGTGCATGACGGATGTAAAATAAAACTTGGCTAAATAAATAAGGGACCAAATGACATATTTAATCTACATGAATATTTTTGACTCTTGAATAGTGTTTTATTTAACAAATTGGAAACAAAACTTTTATTTAAATAAAGAATGTTTTAGAAATAGTTCAGTCCTTATCTACCTTGTTCCTCTGTGGATAATTTTCTGGTTTGGGCTGCTGCTATTCTATACTTTTAGTTCAGATGAATAAGGAGCCTGGTTTGTAAGTCAGTTCGGCGATGTGGATGTGAGAAGACCCTGCTTGGATTAGCTCTGTGGACAGTGAAAGAGAAGCAGAGCTGGCCCCACAGCCAGAGTTAGCTCACAGTTTACAGATGGATTCTATCTTAGGAACAAGTGAATTCAGTAGAATCAAGTGGGAAGGCGTAAGCACCCACGGGAAAAGAGTATTGTTTTCAATGTGCTTTCTTCGATTAAAGAAAAATTGTGTTAACTGCACACACCACGTTGCTTTTCATTGTACTTACTATTTTATTATTTATATTTGTTCTGCTACCAAGGACCAAGTTTTCATGATCGACTCCAAGTGTGAATCTGGCAAAGGACGCTGCTCCTTCAACCCCAATGTGAACACAGTGTCTGTGATGATCAGTAAGTAGAAGCCAAAAGACGGGCGACAGGAAAATACCAGGACACCAGCACGAACCACAGCCATCTGCAGCATCTTCCGTGGCTATTTCTCTAGCACAAAGCACAGATTACTGCTAAACACAATATAATACCTCATCAGTTTCCCTGTATTGTAGTAATCTTTTTCATGTGGCTTAGTAGGCCGTGCTTTTTGAATGAAAAAGAGCAAAGTGCATGGTTAGCTGGACAGGTCTCTCAGTGAGCGGCAAAGAGCAGCTCACGGTTTCTCAATTCCCTACTTCCCCTGCGTTTCCCGGGAAGCCGCTGTGCTAATCACTGCTGAGAGGCATGGGGTTCAATCAGCGTGATTTGGAGCGCAATCACCGAGTGCTTGTCTGTGCTTCACTTCAAAGACTCCTTCTTGTGATTACCATCTCTCAGAGTATTCTGCATTATCATAAGTGGACTGGTAGGAATCTTGGAGACCAGGGCATCATCAAATGTTTAATAAGTGCTTTTATCCCCTTCCCTTTTTAAGGTTTTGTCAGCAGTAAAATTTTATCTTTGACACTAGACCTGATGAAACATTGTTTTTTCAGATGAAAAATTATTATGTCCAAGTGCCTGCTTAATTCTTTTAAATGTGAAACCCGTCTCTCTGTCTCATATCTAGAAATTCAGTTAAAACAGGCACATCTAGCACTGATTAAAATGTGGGCTTGGACATTAACCATGAGTTTGTCCCATGTGGTCATTCTGGCCTGCAGGAGGAAGGCAGAAGTGTGTCACTAAGACAACCCGTAGGGAGGTTGAAACACAAACTGTCCGATTATGTCTGCTGCTGCATATTTGCAGAGCGATTCCCAAATGTGATTTAATATGAGTCGTATCTTGAGAAGTCCATTCTTTATTAGAATGGGAATGCTATTCTGGTTTAAAATTTAAAAAAAAACAACTATAAGCATATGATTTGTGATGAATTTAAATGTATATATTTTTCATTTATTTCAAGCTAAAGACTGTGAATGTACCTTTCACAGAGGTTAACGTAGTAAAAGGGCATTGTATCTATTCATATCCATTGAATATTGTTTAGAATAAAAATGGTTATAATGATATAAACTTTCTTCCTAAACTGTCAGAAGTCATTTGATAATTTTGCCTTTAGAGAATCAAATTTGTCTGCAAATTAGAGTTAGATATTGAGCTTGGTTTTCCAACGACCTGAAACTTGAAAAACTTACTTTCTCGTATTCTTAATTTACTTTTTACTATTTTGATCAACTGTTACATTTTTTGTTATTAAAGAAATTGACATTAAACAATTTGTATTACTTAAAAACTAAAAGAAGAACCAGAAAGCTTCTAAGTGTGTACTTACTACTGCACTTATCTGGTTGTTCTTTTCTCTAAAATTATACACAATAGCTTTTGTGGTAATCTCGCTTTACCATATTATAAGATCCTCATTTTCTTTCAATTGCAGTGACTACATGACGCAAGTTGCTTTAAATACTTCTATTACATAGTAAGAAGCAATAACAATTAAAAGAATTTCAGATTTCACAGGCGGATTGTGTCATAGAATGCCCTGTGCATGTGCAGTGTTCTTTTGCTGTATTCATTCAATGTTATCCAACAACAAATAACTCAAATATTATCATTAAGAAGACCTACGGTAAAACTCTTGAAGCTTTCTATGTCAGTGAGACTATAATTGGAAAGTTAAATATTTTTGGATTGGAGTTAAAAGGCATGAGTGTATCTTTATCTAAAACCTTGCAAATAAATTCCGAATAAAATAATCTTTTAAATACAATTCGTCTCAAAGCGACATTAAATAGTTCCTATTGATACAAAATAAAGCAGAAACTTCATAGCCTGCTATTAAAACCACTGAAAATATAAGACAGGAAGGGAAGCTCACTGGATGTGCAACCTTGTGTAACTTTTAATATGTAACTAAGGAGAGGATTAAACAGACTCTATGCCAGTTTCTGCATCTTCTCTTTCTTGAAGACTCATGTGATAATTGATAGCTGTGCTAATCTGTTTTAACAGCAGGACTTTGTAGTTTATGGCTGTATTTTTAATTGCTTATAACAAAACATAAAATACCCAATTACAAAGTTATCTCAGTTTAACAGTCAACTCTGTACACTTGTGTCCCTTGCCGGGGTTCACAGGACTTCCTTCAGTGCTGGGATGGAAGCCAGGGTCCCAGGGTGCAAGGCCAGTGCTCTACTGGGCTGCAGCCCAGCCTGTCTCTTGCTCCTTTTGGACTTAGTACATCCTTTCTGGTGGTGCAAGGGATCAAATCCAGGCCTTAAGAATGCAAAGCAAGAGCCCTGTCCCTGAGCCACATGCCCAGCCCGGGTTTGATGGCCCAGCTGCTCCCAAAGTCCATCCTGCACATTTTGTTCTCTCTCTGTAATGTTTTTGTGGAGGGGACCTCTACAGCAAGGGGCTGTAGCTGACACTGGGCCGCCCCTGCAGCTTGCACTGGCAGGGCCCAGGCTGAGCTGGGAGCCCACCCGGAACAGTGAGAGCTCAGGATTTACTCTGCTGTCCAGCGCTGCCCATGGTGGCCACCAAGAGAACCTGTTCAGGAGTTAGAAGGAAGCGAGCAGCCCAGTTAATTGAGACCCTAATGAGGAGCTCATTCTTCCTAAAATACACACTCGGCCACTGTCCCGCACTTGGGGTCCCTTGTTTCTTAGCGACATAGCGCTTACCGATCCTGTGACAAAGAGGAGTAGAGACCTTCAAACACACGTCAGCTTTTAGCACCATGCAGATTAAAGTGTCCCAGGGAGAGCCGTTCATAATGACGTTATTAGCTGTTTAAACGTTTTCTTGTCATTCTATTATTTTTTTATGACTGAGTTAAAATTGCAAATGTGCACTTTGTTTATACGCTAGGAACCTTATAGCACTAGAGATCCAAATGCACCATTTGTCCCCCCCAAAAGTGTATCCACACTTCAAGAAAAGAAAAATGTGTATCAATATTTTAATGGTAAGTTTATTGAGACATCATGAGATTAGTAAAGTTACTGCTACATTTACAAGAGGTGCTCAGAGTGGTGACCATCAGCTTGCAGACCTTGAAGTGCTGCTCGGGAAACCCCGGTCACTGAGATTGCTGTACGGTCATGCCAATGTCTTTTCTAAGGACAGGCAGCGAAGCAAAGTGGGTTTTGTGTGCTCTGCGACATCCTCTAGGGTCCCCCATTCCAGGGTAACACCATCTGTTTAAAAAAATCATGTTATTTTTTCTTCTCCTGAAGTGTGTATAACTTTCTTTATACAGAACTGTGCAGAACTTTAATGATGGAAGCTTTAACAAATTAATAGCATTTTGAGAGTTTGAAAGCAGCCCCCACATCATCAAGTAATGATAATGGGCCATGTTTGACACATAAATAAAATTAGAGAAATTTTATTATGTTGGGAAGTTTTGAAATCACAACCTATGTATCCATATTTTATCACTGAAAAGATTGAGATTCAAGGTGTTAAATAACTAAGCCCTATTCCCAGTCTGTAAATGATTCCCAGGTTAGAAACCAGATTTTTCTGATTCTTATAGTTTTTTTTTTAATTTATTAAAGTAAAAGAATTAACATATTTTTTATACATGTGCCATTTCTGATACATACTATATAAAATTGATAGTCTAATGAATATGGGGGATTTTTATGTCTATATATATAGTGAGAAGTCATTCTAGGCTTTGATACATACATGTATCTGTTTCATATATATACCATTATATAGCAGTATCGTGTATGTATAAATACACCTGTATGTATCACCATGTATCATATATATATAGTAACTGTGCAGGTAGTTAGAAGACAGGTGAAGCTTTCTTGAAGATTCTAGAAGCTGTGTGTAATGGTGCGCACCTGCAATCTCAGTGTGCATGAGGCGGAGGCGAGAGGATTGCAAATTAACGCTGAGCAAGTTAACGAGCAGACCTGTGTCAGCATAAAAATAACAGGGCGAGGATGTCACTCAGTGTGAAGGCCCAAGACTCAATGCACAGCACGGACAAAAAAAATTAAAGTTTCATGCTTAATGGAGACAAATGAACAATTACAAATATTCTATAATATTTTAAATGATTGCCCCAGAGATAATTTACATGTTTTAAAGCTATTTTAAAACACGTAAATTTCATTTTCTCCTTTGTAGACGAGGAGCTTTTCTCAGGAATGTACATCGATTTCATGGGGACTGATGCTGCCATTTTTCGAAGCTTAACCAAGAGGAATGCTGTCAGGACGGATCAGCACAATTCCAAGTGGCTGAGTGGTAAGAAAACACTTCGGCAATATTTCCTTCAGTACCGTGCCTCAAAGTAACCTTCAGTTCTGTAAGATAGCCGGGAAAATAGACTAAAACCGAGGTAGGAGCCGTGACGTGAACAATGGCAGTTTTTACTGTAACACTGACAGTATCAAAGATGAACACACAAAACTGCACTCTGTTCACATTGCAGGACCTTCTTTCACTGATCACCATACAGTTGTCATGAGAATATAAATAAATCAAAGTGGAAGGAGCATCCATCATACCTGCCAGTCCCTGAGCCTCTTGTTGTTGAAGGATAATGTACTATGATCAAATAGTCGTTCAGGCTTCATTTCATCTCTCATGTGTTTTACTAACGCCAAATTTAAAACTCAGCTCAACTCTGTGACATTGAGATTAATGAATGGATTGCATTCAAGAACTCTTCCTGTGTGTTTTATACCTGAATTTTATAATGATAAAACTTGTATATGTAACTTTTTCAAACTTTGACTACTCTACTCAGTAGAAACTGTAGGTGTGATAACCCTGAGATTATCGTTGTTCAGTGTTCTCTAGTTCTTGAGGTCATTGGGATTCACATACAAAGGTGCAGATTGGGTTTTCATGTCTGGCTCCTTAGAAGAGAAGGCCACTAGGGATGCTGTCATTTTACCCTGGGGAGCATTTCTAGCTGGCTGTAAATGTGGGGTTCATTTCCCATGCCCAGCAAGCGTGAGTCTACAGTGAAGCATCTTATTTTGCAGATAGAGCAGGACAAGAAAGCCTTGATTGTCCATTAACTTCCTCAAATTACTCTCCTACTATATCTGGAAACAGAGCATTCTGAGAGTGGTTTTGTTCTGGAAATAAGGAAACCCTGTGTGTCTTCAAATGGTTGCATTTTTCCTTGAGAAGTTTCCCCTTCATTTCATTTGCTTTATTTTAAGAAAAATGTGTTGTTCAGATTTTTGGACTCTGCCCTCCTCCTTCTGCTTCAGCGAACTCGAGTTTATATGCACTAGATTGAAAGCCACATGTTGGAAGCCAAACATTTTTTTTCCTGTAAAACAGCCATCAGATTCCATGGGAAATAAATGGTAGGAAAGCTTCTCAATTTTTAAAAAGTCATTAGTGCTCAAGTGACGGTAGCATTTCCCATGTCTGTCCAAAGGGCACCGCAGGCGGAGGAAAGTGGTTTGAGCTGTCAGATCACAGCTGCATTTGTGACCCTTGACATTTCTCCTGTGGAGTGTTGGGAGGAACGCAATTTCTGCTTTTTGAAATTTAATCTCTGAACACCGAACTGTTCTCCTGCACCCAGTGGGGGAAGGACACACCTGTAGTCACACAATACAGGCATGTGCATCAGAACAGGGGATCTTCACGCTCTGTTCCAGAACCCATGTTTGTGGATGCCCACGTCATCCCGGACGGCACTGACCCCAACGACGCCAAGGTGTACTTCTTCTTCAAGGAGAAGCTGACCGACAGCACCCGCAGTGGGAAGCAGATCCATTCCATGATTGCGAGGATCTGTCCCGTGAGTACTGCGCCTGTGCGCTTGTGAGCACTGGCCTTTGTTTAAGTGGCTCGTTTCCAATAGTTTCTCTTCCTGCTTTTACGATCAAGAGCTACAAATATGTAAATATGTTACCCAGAAAAATGCCTGTAAAATAGTGTTTATTTGCATCCGTCACTGGCCGTAAGCGTACTCTATTTCTGGAGAAAGCTTCCTTCGGGGAAGCTGGCTGTGGTTTTGCACAGATAAACAGTTTGGACTCATTGGAGTCCTGTGCCTTGGATGCACTGGAATTCAAACATTCTAAAAGAAATAAAACAATTCCCGTAAATATGATACACGCAGATCTCAGTAAACGATAAGATTGCGGGACTTTCTAGAAGAGTGCAAATGGAGAGATGCTGTGGAAAGTACAGTCCCAGTTGTAAACAGTCGTGTTCTGTAGAGAAACAGTAACAATAGAGACCACTCAAGAGTTCATGACATCCTCTCCACTGACTCACAGACTTGTGTTGACCTATTTATATTAGAATTCTTTGTGAAAAAAGTATTTCTCAAAGTGTTTATTGTTAATTTTTTTTTTTTTAAATCCTTAAATATTACACAAGCTACCAGTGAGAACTCGGCTATTTCTCAAAGTTAGCAGAACGGGTAAAAAGGCCTCACTGCACAGAGAGAAAAATAAGTCAGAAATAGAGAGTATTTGTGAATGATCCAAACACCAGGCCTCTGGTCTGGCCAGACGAACGCATCAGTAAAGCATCTGGTGAGGGACGATGTGGAGGAAAAAAAGAGGGGGACAGAGCTGGAGCGCTGGGTGCCAGCTCCACGTCGCTGCCCACGGTGCAGCCTGAGACCCTCACTGTGTGCTGTGATTTGTTCAAAATAAAGATGATGAGCCGCCCAAAGTGCAAATGAGATTACGCTCCGGAACACTTCTGTCATACACTGGAGAAATTAGGGCAGTTAATTGTTCACATAATTGATTCGTTTGCAGCTAATACTGTTAAGAGAGGCACAGTGCGGCTCACACAGTGTTATACTGTGCTATGGGTATTTAATGTCTCCCTCTAACTGTGGGGTCCAGATGCGGTGAACACTTGGTGGTAACACATGCTGAAGCAGCCCCACTCCACGGTGAACGATAGTGCCACCCCTCCGGTATCTTTGTGAATGGCGAGCGTGACCTTTGCGATTGATTTCAGAACGACACCGGTGGCCTGCGCAGCCTCGTGAACAAGTGGACCACCTTCCTGAAGGCCCGGCTGGTGTGCTCGGTCACTGACGACGACGACGGCCCCGAGACGCACTTCGATGAATTAGGTGAGGAGTGTAGAGGGCGGCTGGCAAGGCTGCAGCGAGCTCTCAGGTGCCATGCAGCTCTGGGGGCAAATAACCTGACCTCTTAACCACGCGGGCTTTGTTCATTCCGTGTACCACAGTGTATGAATGAATGGGCGAGTGTGTGTAGGGTGCACTGTAAAATTTAATGGTATGTCTTGGGGCTTTTAGAAACAAGTCTGTACGTCATGGTAGTCCTACACTGATTTAAAATCCACTCGTGTACGAAGAAGGCTGTGTATTTTTACACCAAATCTAATGGGTAGAATAGAATCTGGATAGACAAGTGTCAGACTGTTAACTCTCTGAACAGATCGAGGTGTCTCACCCCAGCTTAGTTCTGCTCCTTGGCCCAGGACTAGGAGAGCCCAGCATGCCATGAAGAGATGGGTGCTCATTTTCCAGGCCAAAGACTGAGAGTCTGATTGTTCCCTGGCAGGGAAGAGTCCCTCATGATAGGAATAATGTGGTGACAACAGCGTTCCCTGTTTGTTAAGTGCCACTGAAGAGCGGCTCGATCTTTTTTGCTTTTATCTTATAATGGAAAAGGACATTTATTCTCAGATTTTGAGGCAGGTGATAAACTAACAATAAGAACTATTTGTATATGTATATTATATATACAGTTGTATTTTGTAAAATGGTATATATGTATATTGTATATTATAAAACTGTATTTATAATATGAGAAAAATTCAGTGTTTGAACAGTTGTAAAACTGAAATATGCAGTTAGTTGTTCTTAAAGGCCATTATGCTTTGTTTGCAAAAATCATTTTTTCTACAAAAAGTTTCAGTTAGCATTTCCTGACACAGGCTAGACCAGGGGTGGCGAACCTGTGGCATGCCTGTCCCAGCAGGCCATTTGCATCACTAAGAACTCCAAAAGGTCCACCATCGCTGTGTCCTTCATTATCTCCCTGCAAACTGTTTGCAGCTTATGCTTTAGACTTGTTCTTTGGAGGAAAGCAAGACATAGCCTTTATTCCATTTATGGAAGGGCTCCTGGCTAGTAGCTGGTTTCTGAAGGTAGGAATCCTAAATCCACTAAATGTAGATAACTGCATCTCTCTTTGTGTTGCTCAGCAAGAGCTGAATTTGCAAAACTTCACTAAATCCTGATCGCTCTTTCCTTCTTTGTAAGGGGTTATTAATGGCAGCTTTCTATCAGGAAGTCTTCACGTTCAGATGTGACAATGCTCTGTCTTTGCTATAATGTATTCAAAACATCTTACTGTCAGAGGCGCAATTCTGACTGAGTCAAAATGAAGTCCTATTTTGTGTGAACAATTCTCATCCGTGTTCCTACCTCTAATTCTGGATTTAAAAGAAACCAAGAGTTACATTGTTTTTTAAATTTTAAAAAACCTGATATTTTATTATTAAAGGATAGTTTGAAAATTTCCAAGCGAAGAAGCAACAAGGGCATTTCAGTAGCTTTGCTGTCCAGGACACTCGGTCACCGTTCCCTTCCTCTGCTGTGCAGAGTTCAAGGTTTCCTGTACCTCGGTCCGCATTCCATAGCACTGGGACGCTCCTCCTCTTCCTGTTATCCTTAGAACAGTCCCCGTAGGGATGCCAACTCTTCATGAGTCCTGGTTGGGTCTGTGTAACATTTTAATCTAGCATGTGCTTATCATTTTTAGTTATTTCCAATTTTTAATCATGTTTCATGAGTATCTTTCTGAATAGCACTACCAAGAGTTGAAATTACATTCTTAAAGTAATTTTAACAAATACACTTGCTATTTAGAAATATTAAAAGAGTGACACTTTCTTTTTTTTTTTTTTTTTAGAGGATGTGTTTCTTTTGGAAACCGATAATCCAAGGACCACACTGGTGTATGGTATTTTTACAACATCAAGGTAATTATTAATCAATTACATTTTATGAGTCAGACAATAAACTTTATTGAGTAACAGTAAATATTATGAAAACATTCTTGTCTTGAAGTTTACAAAGAATTATAACAGTAGAGCCCTCCTGTTTTATTTACATTTCCCAGATTACCAAGTTACGTTTGAACTTGACATGTGATTTCAAAACAGTTTCCATTTGTAAAGATTCCTTGCTGTGAATCTCAATGTATCAGTGTTGTGTGGAAGATATTTTTTTTCTGAGAAAACAATCTCAACACTCATTTTCAAAGAAGATCTTTGACATTTTTTGTCATTGTTGGTAGAGGTCACAGACATAATGACAGTGGATTGTTCAGTGTGTGTATATGTACAAACTTACCTACCAGTACACAGAAATATGTATAATTCCTGTGTACCAATTACAGTTCAGGAAATGTGTAAAAACTGTAGCATTGCTATCAAAATAATTTTCACTTCAGAGACAAGCTACTTAAAAATCTAACAAAAGCTAAACCAGCTTTATATTCTACTTGGCAGTGTTTCTTATATTTCAAAATAGGCTTACTATTTTGTAGTTTCTCTGAGATGTTCAGTGTCAATTCTTGTACATTTCATGACAATTCTCTGTATCCTTACCTGTCACATGCATCTTTTTGTTGGTTAATTTTGTACTAGGAACATTCATGCGAACCCTTCCTATATTTCACCATGACTATTTGACCAGCGTGGGATATATTAGTGTTTTTATCAGACAGTCCACTAAGAAATGGAGTTCTAAAGGTTTTAGTATTATTTTTGAGTGGACTGAGACATGGTACGATTGTTGACTGCACTGAACTATTCAAAGAAGAAAATGACAGATACATTGATTTTAAATCATCAATGTTTTTCTTGAAAGATATCTTTAGGATAGTCTTAAGTCCTAATTTACCAAAGGAATACTTTCAATTTAACTTACAGAGAACTGAGCAAAGAAAAAATAACCAAATTCTTGAAAAACTGTTGATTCCACTAAAACAATCTCTTAGTTTCTTTTTCCCCATACCTGTAAGTTTAGGATTGGAAAAGTAAACATCATGATTTTGGACAACTGATTCTAATGATATATACTAGAATGTATTGTTCATTTTTATGAGAATACAAAACATTTTGCATTAGGCCTCTGCTCTGAAGTGAATGTGTAAGTAGGAAAAATGTTGATTTCAGTCACTCTGCTGTGACAACGAAAATAATTTTAAGGAGTCAAACAAACTTGTTGAGATTTTACTGACTGAAGATTATTAATGAGTCTTTCATGGATGTTACAGACAGAAGGAACAAGAAACATGACAACTTAGATTAGTTTTCAGGAAAACAGAAGATGCTCTCATGTCGAAAGCATCTTACTGTAAAAAGATGGTGCTCTTTTATTAATGACATTTATTTCAGAATTAAATGCCTTAGCTTGCATGGATGAGGATTTGGAATTCAAACTCATATAAACTCATCTGTACTGTTTTTGTTGCTAAAATGATCTAGTTAGTAGCCTCTTTTTCCTTCTTTGGGAAATCTTCAGAAGAATTTCTCTGTAACATGTTACTGTTACCTTCTTTGACCTTCATGTGAATTAAATATTTTAATGCTTTATGTATCAATGTCTTATTTCCTTTCAGAAAAGTTGTTTCAACTTTGTACTTCTGCACTATAGCATTCCAGTTTTCTGTGATCAATTAGGTCACCTTATATCATAAACATCACCACCTATTTTTAAAATCGTAGCACCCTTTATAAGATAAAGAAACAGACCCCCGTGCTTATTTTTTCAGCTCTGTCTTTAAAGGCTCTGCAGTGTGCGTCTACCACCTGTCTGACATACAGACCGTGTTTAATGGGCCTTTTGCCCATAAAGAAGGACCGAACCATCAGCTGATTTCCTACCAGGGGAGAATCCCGTACCCTCGCCCTGGAACTGTGAGTATCTAGGAAGGTGTCCTTGTTATCATGCTGATGACTAAACAAGACTTGAATGTCCATTGATGCTTATTAAATACAACTCTGAGCCTCCTGCTGTGATCGTTCTGATGTTTCACTTGAAGTGGTTCAGCTCCAGGACCCCCAGAACTGGGGCTTTACTGGCCTGTCACCTGTGATACCGAGCTCCATCCTCAAAGTGTTACTGCTGACACAATGGCCTTTAGATTCTAGAACACCATGCAAGTCAAAGAGAGATGTGTTTTTCTAATTACAAGTGAAGAGAGTCTGAAGCTCCAAAAGTATTAACTTTTCAGTGGAAGCTAAAATACTTGGTTACTGGTTTCTTTTCATAGTACTTCCCTATACTAAGAAATATCCCCTGTTTTAATGGTAATAACCAAGTGAAAATTAAGTTACATGTAACTTATGTGGAGATTTTTTAAATTTTAGTGTTGTGCTTAGCTTTAAGCTATGTGCTATATCTTTCTCAAAGAAAAAAATATATGTTTGGCATATCTGAGCAAATAATTAACATGTAGATGATAATTTAAATAAAATATTCATATATCATAAAATAATTCACGCATTAGAACTATTTAACTGCCTTTTAATTAGAAATCCCCTAAACTGGAATGACACTTTTGGAGGGGAGTTGTAGGTGTTTCCATTAAGAGATACATTGAAAGCTAACTTTTCCAACTAAGGTACGACCATTCACTGGCAGATTAGAATAGGAATTTTTCTTGGATTTCAGTTTAAAAACTCGTGTTATTTTTCATCTGGCTGATAATTATACTGCTTTCTAGAACACTGATTAGTTTGTGTCTGAAAAATGCCATAAAGACCATAGTTTGAGAGAAGAGTTTCTCCAATTGCTCATTAAGAGAAATATAATCTTTCTCTTTCTCTACTTTTTAAGAATAGAGTTATGAATTATATAATGCAGTGGATGTAAATGCAAAAGAATGCTTTATGAAAAATTCCAAAAGATAGATAATATAATACTCATGTAAACATACTGCTTATGATGTGTTTTTACTTGAAGCTGAGATTTCCTTTGCTAGCACTGTATTCTTTGAGATACTGATCCAACATAATTTTTACCAATTATTGACTTGCTTCATTTTTTGTGCCATTACAGTATATTTGTAATGCATTTCTTGCTCTTTTATTTTCTTATTGTCTTAAAGTTGCCTGCTGTTAGGCTTTTTTTTTTTAAACTGAGAAACATCGTTTACTAAGCCTTTAAAGAAGCTGTTTTCTGATAATTAAAAACACTTGAATTTGTTTCCCAACCATTAACCATTTGCATAGTTTTATATAACACAATTAATTTTTAATTAAATTGGGGAAATTTTTGAGAATCACACTTATCCCTAAAACTGTTACATTTCTAAAAGTTATAATCAATCAGTATCTGACAGTATCATAAAGTTTACCGTGCCCTTCAAGTTATCTCTCTTTGCTGCCCGCAGCTCCAAAGAAATAGGGACAAACCTCAGCTTGTTTTATATAGCACAGGGAGAGGATGGAACAGTCACGGCACCTTGGGAACCTGGGGCAGACAGTCAGATACAGAGAGGGAGACAGAGAGAGAGGAAGAGGGTGGTGAGCAGCTGGCAGATGCCACCACAGGATGAAGGCTTTCTTGGAATCCTCCAGAAAACTCAGGCTTTTCCAGCAAATGCACTTACTCAGGGACCAGGCATATTCTTCAGGATGGCTTGGAGCTGATCTGGCCCCTGCACACACTTTGATGGTTCTTTTGGATAAAGATGGGACTCACACAAGAGTACTGGGTTTGAGTTGCCCCAATTCTATTCTCGCTGAACCCCCAAAAAGCACGTCAAGAGGAACCTAACAAGCAGATAAACCCTGAAGCAGAGGAAAAGCAGCTCAAGTTGGCTGGGTGAGGGTTTGCCTTGCAGAGCCTCATGTGAAGTGTTGCAGGCCGACTTGCCCTGGCTCTCGAGCAGAATCTGCACACTGCAGGTCTCATCTCAGCCTCAGGCATCAGTGTGGAAACCAAGTTAGCCATGCCGGGAGTGTTAGCACCATGGAAATGGGCAGATGCTAAGAAGAGGGGCTTTCTTCTCCCCTGAAGAGAAGCCACACCCTGGCCCCACCTCCTTCCTAGCCTTCACCCACAAGACCACTTGAAAGCTGCTTTAGCTTGAGCATAGAGCTCTGCGAATCACAGTGAGAAACCGCTCACACCAAGAGGGTATTATTCTACGTTGCATGGCCATAGATCAGCCTCTTTAGCAAACCAAAATTAACCAGTGCTAAATTAGAAAATGCTGCAAAACTTTCTCTGTTCACAATGTTTTAGCTTTTCTAAGAATAAGCTTTTTCCCTTCCCTGTTCTAAAGCAGGGTGGAGCAAGCCAGGGCTGGGTGACGCACATCTGGAACAAACTCCTCGCAGCAGAGGGAGTAGGATGTGCCTAAGACATATTTCTGTAATGTGGTTTCTTCCATCTGGTGCTGAGACCAAAACATCTCTCTTAAATCCAAAAACTGTCAGATGAGTGGTCCCGAGGGGACACAGAGGCGGGGTGGAGGGCTGACCTTGGAACTCCTCCTAGGAAAATGAGCTTCCCGAAGACCTGGGGCCTCCACCCTGCTTGGGCAAAGCCCCGTGAAGTCAGCTCCGTGACTCAGAGCAGCCCTGTCGCTCCCTTCCCCGGCTTCCTGCTCACGTGGCCAGAGGAGCTGCAGCCGAGGAACCACAGTGTCCCTTCGCTCCTTTCCGGGTTAGGAACGGAATGCTGCCTCTGAAGTCCTCCCAGTGCAGGATCAATGGGGATTGTCCTGCTGTATTTCCTGACACGGTAGTCTGGTTGCTGGGTCAACCCAAAGTACAGGACCCTGGCAGAAACCCTATACCCTCCTCCAAATGCTCCCGTAGGTGCTGCTTTGCAAGCCCGGCTGATGGCTGCGGTAGCAAAGGCCCCCCAGGCCGCCCGGGTCCGTGGCAGGAAGCCAGCCAACGGTGTCATAATGTTTTCCATCAGGAACTCAAGTTTGTGGGCGAAAGGAGACACCTTTGGTATGTTGCAAAGGGCGGCCAGAGACTGTACACTGTCTCTGAGGCCTGGCTAACAAATTACACTGTTCCGTCGCGACATGGATGAACCTTCTGCAGAGGCTGCTTTTGCGTACAGTGCATAGTCTGTTACAGTGGAGCTAAATATAGATGTTCCGTGTTAGCATCTATTTGTAAATGTCACAGAAACTTCTACTTCAATGTCCAAGGAATGATGGTCCCTTAACCCCTCAGCCTTTGCCTTCCCATCTCTAAAGCCCCTCGCTAACCCTGAAAGCTCCAATTTCTACACCACTCTGAATTAATTTTAAAAATATTGGCTTTTACGTCCACACGACATGACCCAGAACCAAGCCGCTAGTTCCTTCACACATTCAGGGTCTCACTCTCTTTCCTAGTTGCTATTGTGCTTTGAATATGTCTGTCTTTTTTCCTGGAGTATTTGTGTTTAGAAGACTAGAGTGGTTTCTTATTTTTATGTCCTTCACAGTGTATATCAACATGGTTTTTGAATAAAATTTACCCAAAGAATGGGTGTGTTCCTATTTAAACATAGACATATATAACCTGGTGACTCCCTTAGCAGACACAAGGCCAGGGAGAGTGTCTGGGGTAAGCAGGAGGACCCGTGTTCGAGGCCAGCTGACTTAGGTCAGGACAGCAGCCGGACACTTCAGGGTGGCTCATCCCCCCTCGGCCCCTACTTCAGTAACATTTAAATTGTCTGCACTCAAAAAGGACTGCTGATGACTGCTTGATAAACAGGAAGAGGAAAACAAAGCCCGAAGGGGGAGTTTAACGAGAATTATTTAATGACTGTTTGTTGAGTAAGTTGGGTTTCTGGAGAATGAAACACCAGCCTGTTTACAGATGTGGCTCTCGTCTTCCAGTGGCCCGGATGTTCTGTTGGGGTGTCGGAAAAATGTTTCCCTGGGTCCCAGACCAGGGGAAAGTGAAGGCTTCTTGTTCGGATTTGGGATGTCACACCAGCGCAAATCGTGTCTACAAAGCGTAATGGCTTATCATCCCTGCCACCACTTTATCACTTGTTCTGTGTCTTACCTGCAAAGTTTATGCCATGAATAATACAGGAGTTACTATCAAAACTTTTGTAGATTTAAAAATAATTCCACACTCAGAGACACTAGTTTCTAAGGGAAAGTTCGTTATGAACACACACACACACACACACACACACACACACACACACACTTCTCAATTTCTAATGGAGAATAAGTGAATGAATACAAAGTCAGTGATTTGAGTTCATTTGCTTGGATCTTCTAATTTAGGATTAGGGTTTGAAGCAACCTTAACAAAAGTCTTATCAGAATTTCACTTTCCGTTAAGTAAAAGCCTATGATAGAAACTGTGCACTGATAATTTATGAAACTCATGGAGCCCAAGCCTGTGCTAACTGGAAATTGTTAGGAATTGCCTAGTGAAGCATGCTAAGTTTGGATCTTTCTGGAATTTACGAATGAGAATGCTTGCAAATATTTCAGGGGACATCTCAGCTTGGCAAGCCATAATTAGTGGTGCGTTACGAAGGTTTGGAAGAATTCGAAGTGCCCATGCATTGTTCTTTCCATGTTTTCATCCCCCGAGCAGTGCCTTTCCCTTCCCACTTCGCATGAGGAACCAGAGCGGAAAACCCCCTTAATTCCATACTCCACAGAGGGCTGGAACTCATCCGTCGGCTCGGGGCAACCTCAAGCTAAATGCTCCGTCCGCCTGTGGTGCTCACTGCGGGCAGACTGTGCCCATGTATTCTTGAACATGACGCCCGTTCCTCATGGAAAGACCCATGAGCTGAGGGGATGGTCCAGGAAGGACAGGCTCAGTTTGCTGCCATCTCCTTCTCTCCCCTTGGTTAAGCCCTGTCAGTGGCCCCGGTGCCTTCTTCCGAGAAGAGAGCCACGTTCCCCAGCCCTGCCCACAGCTCTGGTCATCTCCCTCTTCAGGGTCAGCTGGAAGTCCCATGAAGAAGTGGGCCAATCAGGCAGACCACACTGGTAATTCCCAGAGAGCTTTGGCAAACACGATTCTGTCTGATGGGTGACAGGGCCAGCGAGAGGACCGGACGGAGGCTGCGACATGGGTTTGAACCAGAGGTGTCCATGTCCAACCCAAAGTTGCTTTTCTTTCTTAACTGAATCAATCAACTTTCAAGATTTGGCTAATTTAACACAAAACTCATTGCTGTTTTTCTGCGGAAATCTAACAAAACCAGGAGCGGTCACTGGGAAACAGGCCGTCGATGCCTTTGGATGAAGTGTAACTGTTCAGCAGCCGGTCACAGTTCCCACCACGTCCCGTGCTGTACCCGTTGCCAGTGATCAGGAAGCTTGCTTTGTTCCTCTCCTCATCTCTAGCCTCTCTAATGAGGTGAAATGAAATTAGAACAGAAGTGCTGTGAGCTACATGAAAAACACAGAGGGCTTTCTGTACCTGGAAGGAAGCAAAGCTGTTGTCAAGTATTTAAGAGTCAAGTGGAGCTCGTGGGTGTCGCCCTCGGCTTCACCCTGTTCATGAACAAGTCTCGATTCCCAGCCTCAGCTCTTCCCAGCTTGCCTTGGGCTTGGCCTCCAGCGTCCTGGTCAGGGTCTCTTTGCAAAACTCGGAAACCTTGCCAGGGCCCATTCTGGGGGTCTCTTTCTTGCCTCCTGTCTGCTCCTTCCATGATGAGGCTCTGAGTTCCCTCTTCACCCAGAGTGGAGCCCAGTTCCACGCAGCCCCTCTACTAAAACCACAGGCGGGAGATGAGGAATTACATGAGGCTCACACTCGGCTGCTCATCGCAGAGTATCTGTCACCAGCTGTGCCACCAGCTGATGGCGCAGGCCAGAGTGGAGATGGGGGGAGACAGCTACTTTATGTCCTTGCTGGGAGAAGTCACTTCTGAGCTGAGACCTGGTGAAGCAGCAGACAGACTTGGGATGGGCTGTGCCAGAGGGGGAGGTCGGGTGCCAAGGTCCGGGGAGGGCACCGAGGTCCAGGGACAGTCTCACCACACGGGCTTGAGAGCCTCCCGGGCTGTGGGGATTGCCCTCTGGGGGGATGGGCATGACTGGGGTCTTCACCAGGAGGCACAGGCAGCACTGATTCCCCACATCTGACCTCCGGGATCCCTCTTAGGAGGGAGCTTGGATGGGATAAAGTTCAATTTGAGGATGACCATCTAATGTATTTTAACTAATAGCACCATGAAATGGTACCTGTGAGATTTTTTTAACAATATAGTTTCTGGCACAAAAATAAAGAATACAAAAGTGATGGATGAGAAGAGTGAAAATTCTATTAAATACAAAGTAGAATCATCTCTCTGAAAATAAACATGGCAGGATTCGTGGACTGCCCTCCCTCAGTGACCAAGCCCAGCTGATGTATGTCACATGCATAGACATAGCCTCATGTGGTCAGGGTGTTGATTTCTCCCCAGTGGATGACAAATCCACTTGAAACGACCAGACCTTCTAAGAGTTTTTGAAGAGGCCTTTTGATGATCACTGAAATGAAGTCACTTTCATTACCGTTGTTCACCATTTTTTAAACGCCTTATTTCAGTGTCCAGGAGGAGCGTTTACACCCAACATGCGAACCACCAAGGAGTTCCCAGACGATGTGGTCACTTTTATCCGGAACCACCCGCTCATGTACAACTCCATCTACCCGGTCCACAGGCGGCCCCTGATGGTGCGCATAGGCACAGACTACAAGTACACCAAGATAGCTGTGGACCGTGTGAACGCGGCCGATGGTCGGTACCACGTCCTGTTTCTGGGAACAGGTGAGTGTAAGCTCTTCTTCGCAAGAGTGTGAAAAACCAGAAAGATTCCAGTGTCTACCTTGGCCTTGAGGGAGCTATTTAATCTCTCTCTGCCTCAGTCATATCTGAGTGTATCTCAGATATGACTGTACATATCTGAATGTACATGGGGTGATTCAGAGAGATTACTTTGCAAGATATCTCAGGGGGAAAAATGAGCTAATATGTGCAGAGCATCTGGAATAGTCCCGGCACCTACCCAAGAGATCCAGAAGGATACTTTGGGAAGGAAGGGCCGGAAAGGGCTGTGCAGTGTGGGTGAGCACGGGACTCCTCAGAAGGAGAGCAAATCTGGTCTTCTCACGCTCTCCCTGAGCCGTTTCCTTAGGAAGGTGATAATGGTAGGTAATGCACTCTGGAAAGGATCTGGAAACAGATCTAACTACAATACAGGTAGCCGCAAGTTGTAATGAGTGAACGTGTTATAATGCAAGCCGAGTGGAAATTACCTTGTTCATAGGCACCCCTGACTTGAACGAGTAGCAGGTGTGTCTGTAACGGCGGTTGTCAGGGTACGGTCCCCACTCCCACAGGATCAGCATGGCTGCGTACTTGTTAGATTAGAGGCTGCCAGCCTGCACTCCAGGAATTCAGAGGCTGAGACCCACGTCCTCACAGTAATTCTGGTACACCCCACAGTTTGGAAATGGCCACACAAGGCAGAGCAACCTCGGCAGCTGGTCAGGCTGTGTTACAAGTGTATTTCTCTTCCTGGTTTGTGTCACTTCTGGAATGTCCTCCAGGCTGACTGTGTCCTAGGTCACTGGGCTCCTTCCTCTGGTCCCGCCTACCAGGAAGCAGCAGTAGAATCCCAGACATGATTCCTGTTCAGGGTCAGTCTGTGAAATATGGTTGTTTGCCTTCTGATTCAGACACCAGACATGAGGCACAGGTCTGCAGAAGTCATTATACATGGTGCAGCGATGAGATGGATTCTGAACTAGCGTGAACTATGCTCGCACTTCGATCAATTTAAAATTGTGGTTACTTATTCTTGGCCTACGAAACTTTCCAGAGAGTGTTTTTGTCATAAAGTTCTTACTTGATCCTTTTGTAGTCTTCCACCTAAAATCCCAGATCTAAAGCTTTCCTTCGCACAGGATTTCGGTGGGAAATTTCAGAGACTGAGAACCTTCTAGAATGTGCGGCCGGGCCTCCTCCGCATGTGGATGCCTCCATTTCCACTTGTTCCCTGTTTGCTGAGGAAAACTCTTCCTCTGCCAGACAAACCCCTCCTCCCTCTACTCTCAAGTCTTGCACCCACCCCCACCCTGCCCCTCCCCACCCCTCCCCGCCCCTCCCCGCCCCTCCCCTCCTCTCCCCTCCCCTCCCCACCCCTCCCCTCCCCTCCCCACCCCTCCCCTCCCCTCCCCGCCCCTCCCCACCCCTCCCACCCTCCCCACCCCTCCCTTCCCCACCCCTCCTCACCCCCTTGTTATATTCCGTCTGTAGGTGTGGTCCTTAGCACACGTGTGCAGCCCCTGATGGTCACACTCATCTGGTGAGGAGTGCGTGGACAAACACATTTTAAGGCAGTTTTTTTTGGTTCCTTTCTCCTTCTCTCCCTCTGGTTCTTCTTTCCACCCCAGTATGGAAAGCTGCATTTCAGTTTCCCTTTCAATTCTTTTTTAAATACCTTTTCTCTTCTCCCTTCCTCCCTACCCATCTCTTTTTCCTCTTCCTATTTATAACAATTCTTCCTTTTCCCTAATGTCATTCCCCTATTTTGTTCCTTATTTATACTCTGCACTTCTCAAGCAAGTGAAGCAATACACTGTTTAAACTTGTGTTTCTGATTTGTTTGACTTGAGACATGTTCTCAAGGTGTGCCCACCCATTTTCCTAGAAAGCCTTAAGATCCTCCTTCTTTAGGGCAGAATAGTACTCCATTGCCTATAAATGCCTGTTTTCTTGACCCCTTCCTCTGTTTGTGGGTAAATGGGCTGTTTCTGAGACATAGCTCTTGTTCTCCCTTGCATTCCTCTTTCACCTTATCCTCCACCACCCTTGGCTTAAAATCCTTGTGCCAGGATATAAAGCTGTTCAGTCACCTCTGATTCATCACTGGGTTTGCCAGGGTCCTGAATGTGCTCATGATTAGAAAATCCAGCTGCACCTGCTGGCACACTCCTGTAATCCCAGCAACTCCAGAGGCTGAGGCAGGAAACACCCCAATTCAAACTCAGTCTAGGCAACTGTGGAGACCTTGCGTCAACTGGCTTTACAAGGGGCAGGCATGGGTCCTCGGAGCACTGCTGGCTTCAACTCTGGGAGCACAAAACAGAAAACCTGATCTCTAGCTCCTGAAATCCTTGTCCTTGCTTCGTTCGGCTTTCGTCCTTGTTCCCTTCTTGTGGCTCCTGCCACGTGAGTTGTGCCCGACCTGGGGGCTCCTTAGCTGTTTCGCCCGCTCACACACCTGAGGATTCCCAGAGGCCTGTGGTTCATCCTCTTCTTCGAATATATTCTTTTATCATCTCATTTGTTCATCTGACTTTGGTTCCTAACCTGTATGGACAAATCCAGCATACTTGGTATTAGTCTTTTCCATTTGCTAAGCTTAATGTCTGAATTATTCTTTGGAGTATTGGGAATCGAACTCAGGACCTCGCACTTGCCAGGTAGGTGCTCTGCCACTGTATCTCTGGCCCTCAGCATTTGAATTTACGCTCACTGGCAGCTGAGGCACCTGGTGTAACCTCAGGCCTCTTGCTTCAAACTCCGTTCATCCCCTTCTGAGACTGACTGCCCGCGCTTCCGCCAGCCTCCCGTCTGGTTGCTCACGGTTGCATCTTCCTCTCCAGGTTCAAGCTTTCTTGGCTATATTATTTCTTGAGGTGGTGGATCACAGGACCTGATTAGCTTAGTTAATATTTACCAAAACAAATTAAAACTATAGTTATCCCTGCTGCACTCAGGCAATGCAGTGAAACCGTAAATGCCTGTGTAGGCTGATTCGCTGCACACAGGCTGTACCCTCAGGAGACTCGGTTGAGTCACAGGGAACACTTCCTGACAGTTGTATGAGTCATTAACTGTATTTAACGCAGCGTCATGAATGGTTTGGTAGCTCCCAGACTGACCACGGTAGCTGTGCAGACTCCATGCTGGTGTCTGTGACTCTCCCCTGCTTGGGTTTGCAGTCTAGAACTCTGGCTGAGTCGGAGGCTTGTACCCTTGCCTCCTGCTCTTGAGGAACTAACTCGGGTTATTCCTCACGAGCTGCCAGATGCAAGCTAAATAAATAAGTGAAGAAGGAAGAGAGAATAAAGGCAGCAGGGAAGGGGAAAATGAGCTTTGCCCTTTTCCTTTGGCACCTGACAGTTTTATTATGAACATCTAGCCTGAGAGCTGTCCGACTATAACCCAGGGACCACATCTGGGGACCACGGCGTGTTCTCTCTGGTACCCAAGCAAAGAATGCTGTTTCCCACTGCTGAATGGTTGAACCTAAGACTATGTCATCAGTAGCGATCACGTTAGTATTGTCGGATTCCAGTGCTCATGAGGTTTTATGAGAACACGGCCACACCTTACATCTGCACATCGTCTGTGGTTGCCATGTGCCCTAGTGGCTGAGACTGGCAAGTGCTACATAGACCTTGAGCCACAGAGCCTGAAAGCCATGCATATTCATCAGCCTTTCCCAGAAAAAGTTTACTGACCCATGCTTTGGTTCATAATTATGACATTCTGTAACACCAACCTTCCTAAAGAAGCTATTTCCTGATACCCAGAAGTAACACAGAGATTCATAGTTTTGTCTAAAATAAGTATTTCTTTTTTGTCATGAATAAAAGCACTGTTTTTATTAACATTGGAACTGAGAGCTAAGTATACTAAATTATTTTTCTCCTGGATCCTGCCCCTACCCTTTTAAACATCCAGTTTAAAATATTCAAATCCAGGCTTTGCTTTATCATGAGAGATTTGTGAGCTTTCCTTCTTTACCATTTTTAGGAAGAGCTGAAGGCTGCAGGCAGGGCCTCTCTCAGGATTAACATTTCTATTTTAACCTGGCTCCCTGCGGCTTGCCTTCGGGTCATTCTTTCAAAGCAGACTGTGTTAGCCTGCGGAGAGGTTTGTACCTATTTTCCCTGTGCTGCTGCAGTTATGCAAATACTGAAGCATGGGTCAGGTTCAGACACAGCCTGTCAGATCTGTATTTTTTAGCACTGTAGGTGAATCACGATGCCATGTGGTGTTCAGTGGGAGAGCGACAGTATTCTTATAAACGGTGTTAAAGGTCTGAGATGATTTAATATCATGATTTTTTAATGATGGCAGATATCACGGTGTTTGCCAGAATTCCCACATGGCGAGCACCGTTCCATGCCTCTTGCTGACCTCCATGGAGCTGGGTGAGTGTTGGGTGCTTGCCTGGCTCCAGCCAGTCTCAGAGAGTGCAGAGTGTGGAAGGGCACACTGCTGGTGGGGAAGGGCCTTGCGAGCCTGGCAGCCAGGGTCTTGAGTGGCTTCCTAGGAACCGCAGCTCCGGCGGCTGCAGGTCTGAAAATGCACTCAGTGGGCTGCAGAGCCAGGGTGCCAAAGTTTACAGGAACAGCCTGAAATGTAACAGCTGATCGCAGGAGGGGTGTGTGAGTTCAGAGGAGCCCCCTGCTGGGTAGGAGCCAAATGCATGTGAACAAGCCCAGCTCTGTGCAGATGCAGACTTCTCTGCTTAGGAACAAATCTCTCCATCAGTCACCGGGATTTAAGACCATTGCAGGTCACTGCTTTCCAAAGCAGCCTGCAAACCTCTGAGCGCTGCCCCTGGATGCCAGAGGGATTTTCACAGCAGGCCCTGCTGCTGCACAGCACAGAAGAAAGGAGGCCTGGACAGAGAGAGGAGAAAGATGCCAACACCTGAGCCGTGCTGGACTGCGTGACCTCGCGTGACATTTTTGAGGAGCGGGAAGAGGAGCCGGGAGAGAAAAGAAAGAAAACAGCTCGGTGGCCGG